CGGGGGCCCTGGGAGCACCCCCTGGTCCAGGAGGCCGGGGAGGGCCTCCTATCTGAGCGAAGGTTCGAGGACTCAGTCATTGTGAGAACCATGAAGTCCCATATGGATGTCGAGGGCTCTAGAAGGTTCTCGCACTACCAGGGTGAACCAAAGCTCTTGGAGAAAGCCCCCCGGGGCCGCCCCAGGTTCAACTGGCTCCGAGACGAGGATGAGCCGGGGACCCCCGGGGACACAGGGCTTCACTTGGACCTGCCCACCCAGCCACCACCACTCGCCTCCTTCAGGAGGGTGTTTGTGCCCATGGAAGACACTCCCAAGACGTTGGATGTGGCGGTGGTGGATCCCAGAGAGGACCTGGAGGACCTAGAGGGGCTGGCCCAGCCGTCCGAGTGGGGACTGCCCGCGTCGGCCTCGGAAGTGGCCACCCAGACCTGGACGGTGAATTCGGAGGCATCAGTGGAGCGACTGCAGCCTGCCCTCCGGACTGGACCCTACGTATGCGAACTGCTGGAGGAGGCCAGCCCAGAAGAGGAGGACGAGGAGCCGGCCGTGTTCCCGTGCATCGAGTGTAGCATCTACTTCAAACAGAAAGAGCACCTGCTGGAACACATGAGTCAACACCGCCGTGCCCCGGGCCAGGAGCCGCCCGCCGACCTGGCCCCACTGGCCTGCAGCGAGTGCGGCTGGGCCTTCGCAGACCCCACCGCCCTGGAGCAGCACCGGCAACTGCACCAGGCCTCCCGGGAGAAGATCATTGAGGAGATCCAGAAGCTGAAGCGAGTTCCAGGTGACGAGGGCCGGGAGGCGCGGCTGCAGTGCCCCAAGTGCGTCTTCGGCACCAATTCCTCCAGGGCTTTTGTACACCACGCCAAGCTGCACATGCGCGACACACCGCCCGGCCGGCCTGCCAAGGAGCCCTTTGGAGGTAGCAGCGGGGCTGGCAGCCCGGGCCCGGATTCCAGCACCGTCCTCTATCAGCCCTATGGAGCTGCCCCGGGCCTCAGTGCCTGCATCTTCTGTGGCTTCCCGGCGTCCAGTGAGAGCTTGCTCAGGGAGCACGTGAGGCTCGTGCACGCCCCTGCCCCCTGGGATGAGGATGGCGAAGCTTTCGAGGAAGACCCCGCCAGCCAGCCAGGCACCAGCCAGGACGTGTACGCCCGCTTCCCCGACGCCGCCGCGGGCTACTTTGGCAAAGCTGAGCCGTTCTTGACCCCCACGTGGCGGGAGAGCCCTGCTGGCTATGACCCCAGCCTGGCCTTTGGCCCTGGCTGCCAGCAGTTGGGCATGAGGGATTTCTCACTGTCCAAGCCACTCCCGCAGGGCTCGGGCCAGAGGCCTCTGGGAAGGCTAGCCTTTCCCTCCGCACTAGCGTCCACCCCCTACTCCTTACAGCTCAGCAGAAGCAAAAGCACTGTCCACCCAGGGGACCGGAGGCGCCCTTGGAGCGAAGAGGAGGAAGAGGAGGACGATGACATAGTACCGACCTCAGAAATGGATTTCATCCCCGAAAACGGGGTCTTTCCACCCCCAGCCACACCCACCCTCATTCCACAGCCGGCCCTCGAGCTGAAGCGGACTTTCCAAAAGGCCCTGAGGACCACCGCGGCCTCGCAGGCCCAGCAGCGGCAGCTCCGAGGGACAGTCCCCGTGGTGCTCCTGGCTAAGCTCAGTCCACAGGTCCTAGAGGCCACAGCCAGGGCACCCCCAAGGCTGCAGCCCGAGGAGCTGGGGCTCAGGGGCGCCCACCCCCTGGACTTCCTGCTCCTGGATGAGTCACTGGGCGGCCCGCTGGTGCTCGACACGCTCCTGGATGGAGACCCGACCGTGGCACTGAAGCACGAGGAACGGAAATGCCCCTACTGCCCGGATCGCTTCCACAACGGTATTGGCCTGGCCAACCACGTCCGGGGCCACCTGAACCGCGTAGGTGTCAGCTACAACGTGAGACATTTCATCTCCGCGGAGGAGGTGAAGGCCATCGAGCGTAGGTTTTCCTTCCAGAAGAAAAAGAAAAAAGGTAGGATAGCTCTGCTGGGGCACTCACCTCCCTTCCAAGCTCAGGAGGCGTGCAGCTGGGCACTCGGGTTCTCTCTTTAATTATTTTTATTAGAGAGTGGTTTTTTTGTATTATTATTAATTTTTTTTTAGCTATAGGGTACGTGCACTTTTTGGAGAGACAGAGAAAGTGAGAAATCACCCCCCTCCCCCCCCAAGAGGGATGGCCATGCCGCAATCTCTTCTCCTCCATTCTCCTCCTGAGATTCTGGGCATGCACACACATGCACCTGATGTGGGTTTCAAGCCTCTGGGTCCAGGACTCGAACCATGGCTGGCTGTGTGCTAGTCTAGCCCCTTAACTACTATGCCGCCTGCTGGCCCCAGGCAACTGGGTTCTCATCCAACCCAGTCATACTCTAAACAATCCCTCAGTGTCAAGCAGGGTAAAGTTGGGAATCTCTCTTCCTGACAGACCAGGAGCCACAGCAAAGGCTACTATGGTCAGTGGATGGTGGGGACGCCCCAGTGCTCTGGTCGTGCCAGCAGCTGGAGGAGGGACTATGGGTAGAGGAGGTGGCCCAGGCAGAGAACTCTATTTATTATTATTATTTTTATTTTTTAAGGTTTTTGCATTAGGGCATGTGCACTTGCCAGAGAGAGACAGTGAGAGGGAAAGTGAAAAATCACCCCCTCCTGGGAGACACCCATACTGCAATCCCTTATCTTTCATTCTCCTCTTGAGATTTTAGTCAAGCACACAAATGCACCTGGTGTGATTTTCAAACCACCAGGTCCAGGACTTGAACTGTGATCGGCCATGGGGGAGTCCAGTGCCTTAACCACCATGCCACCTACTGGCCCCTCCATGTTCTTTTATTCAGTGTGTATCTATGGAGCAAGGTTCCTTCTATAATGAGCATTTGGGGTTATAGCAGAGAATGAAACAACAGTTCTTTTTTTTTATTTTGAGAGGTTTTTGCTATAGGGCGCATGTGCTTGCCAGACAGAGACAGAAAGTGAGAAATCACCCCCTAGGGGGGATGGCCACGCCACAATCCCTTCTCCTCCATTCTCCTCTTGGGATCTTGGGCACGCACCCACACGCACCCGGCGTGAGTTTTAAGCCACTGGGTCTGGGACGTGAACCACGGTCGACTGTGTGGGAGTCCAGCAACATAGCCATTATGCTAACTGCTGGTTCCCAACAACAGTTCAACAGTTCTCCTGCGGTTCACAGTTCCGCTAGGGAGTAATGGGCTCCCAGACCCCCAGGGACTGCCTGTGAGATACACAGGTCCCCAGGCGACCAAGTTCTGATTCTACAGGCCCGTGTCCAGTGGGGGACCCTCTGGGTGGTTCTGACATGCACAGATGTGGAGACCACTTGGTTGGATGTTGGTATGCGGGGGTGTGTGTGTGTGTGTGTGCGCGTGCGCATGTGCACACTTGGGGAGGGTGTGTGTGTGTGCACAGTTGCACGTGTGCGTGTGGATGCTAGGACAAGGGGCGGAAAGCCAGGAGATCAGCCAGCTATGGCCCCATGAGTGACTAGAGCTGAGGTGGGACAATCTGGGAGAACCAGGAGGCTGGCTGGAGAAACTGAGAGGTCCTCGAATCCCTGAGATGGAGAGTCAGAGACCGCTCACAGAGAAATGGCATTACATTCACCTGTCCGTTTCTTCATCCAGCGAATGTTGAATTTCTGGTATGGCGGTGACCATGGGCAAAAATAGACAGAAGAGCATTCACCCAGGTTGTCATCTACAAGTGGAGAAGTGTCTTTTTTTTTTTTTTTCCTTTTTTTATTTTTTAAGAGATTTTTGCTCTAGGGCACACGTGCTCGCTGTAGAGACAAGAGAAATCACCCCCCAGAGGGAGATGGCTACACTGCAGTCCCTTCTCCTCCATTTTTCTCTTGAGATCTTGGGCACATGGCACACACACTTGGTGTGAGTTTTTCATTTTTTTTTTGGAGAGGTTTTTGCTATAGGGCGCATGCGCTTGCCAGAAAGACAGAGAGGGACAAAGAGACAGAAAGCGAGAAATCACCCCCCAGGGGAAATGGCCACGTCGCAATCCCTTCTCCTCCATTCTCCTCTCGGGATCTCGGGCACACATGTACACGTGCCTGGCGTGAGTTTACGCGTACCTGGCGTGAGTTTAAGCCACTGGGCCAGGACTTGAACCGTGGTCAACTACCTGGGAGTCCAGTGACATAGCCATTACGCCAACTGCTGGTCCCCACTTGGCATGAGTTCTACACTGCCAAGTCCAGGACTCAAACCGTAGTTAACTACGTAGGAGTCCAGTATTGTAACCATTAGCCCATCTGCTGATCCCTCTTTTACTTTTCTTTTTCTTTTTTTAAATAATTATTTATTTAATTTTATTTAGTCATTTATTTATTTTAATTTGAACAGGGAGAGATGAGAAAGTGAGAAAGCAAGCCACCAGGTCCAGGACTCGAACCGTGGTCGGCCATGTGGGAGTGCCCAGCACCTTAACCACCATGCCACTTGCTGGTCTCCCCCCACCACCACCAAACCCTCGTTTTCTTCTTTATTTGCACTTGCTGGAAAAAGAGAGAGAGAGAGAAAGCACTCTCCGAGGGTGTGGTCATACAGCTATCCCATCTCCTTTGGAACACGCATACACAGACACCCACATCTGTTGTGTTTTTTCATGCTGCCAGGGCTGGGACTTGAACTGGGCAGTTGACCATGTGGGATCTAGCTCCCCTAACCACCAGGCCATGGCATGGACTTGGTCCCTGATACTGCTCCATGTGCTAGTGGGGAATGCTGGAAGGTCAGGTCTCCTGGACAGGAGGGAGGAGGTGGGGAGCAGGCAGGAGTGACCCGGGACTGGGACAGGGACAGGGATGGAGGGCAGTCCAAAGCCACGGAGGGTGAGAAGCCCCAGGAGCGGAAAGGGGCTGGGGCTGCAGAGTCACATCCTCCCCCTACACCCTACCCCAGGTAGCCCGTCTCCTCTGTCTGCAGTGGCGAACTTCGACCCCAGCACCTTCAGCCTGATGCGCTGTGACTTCTGCGGCGCCGGCTTCGACACACGGGCCGGCCTCTCCAGCCACGCCCGGGCCCACCTGCGCGACTTTGGCATCACCAACTGGGAGCTCACGGTCTCCCCCATCAACATCCTGCAGGAGCTTCTGGCTACCTCGGCCGCCGCGCGCCCCCGAGTCCCCTGGGCCGAGAGCCCGGGGGCGCACCTGGGAGCTTCCTGGCCTCGCGCAGACCCCGCCTACCTCTCTTCCCGCCCACCTGGGCCGAGGACCCGGGGCCCGCCTACGGAGATGGTAAGGGGTGGGGACAGGCCAGAGGGATGGAGGGAGGGGCCAGGGCAGGGCTGGGGGCCACCACTCTGCTTTCCTGGAAGTGTTTTGAGTCACTTGACAAAGAACGTTGACAACTGTCTTCATAACCATTCTGCCACTTAGGAGTCATTTCTGATTGATTGATTGATGCATGCTTTAAGGTTCATGCACTCACTGGAGAGAGAGAGAGGGAGAGAGAAAGAGAGAAGTGGGAAATCACCCCTTCCTAGGGGAATAGTCACACAGCAAATCTTTTTTTTTTTTGGAGAGGGTTTTTTGCTATAGGGCGCATGCGCTCGCCAGAAAGAGAGATAGCGAAAGAAAGTGAGAAATCACCCCCCAGGGGGGATGGTCACACCGCAATCCCTTCTCCTCCATTCTCCTCTCGGGATCTTGGGCACGCATGCACACGCGCCCGGCGTGAGTTTAAGCCACCAGGTCCAGGACTCGAACCACCATCGACTACATGGGGGTCCAGAGATATAGCCATGACGCCAACTGCTGGTCCCCACACGGCACATCTTGTCCTCTCCCCTTTTGGGATTTTGGTCACTCACACACATGTGCCCAGTGTGTTTTTCAAGCTGCTAGACCCAGGACTCAAACTGAGGAGTCGGCCATGTGGGATCCAGCTGCCTTAACTTTCACACCACCAGCTGGCCCTCCTTTCTGTGTTCCTTGAGGGGTTGGGCCAGGGCTCTTTCCAGATTAAGAGTTTCCCTGCCCTTCCCAATACTGATTTTTTTTTTTTTTTTAGAGGTTTTCACTATAGGGCATGTGCGCTCGCCAGACAGAGAGAGACATAGAGACAGAAAGCGAGAAATCACCCCCCAGGCGGGATGGTCACGCCGCAATCCCTTCTCCTCCATTCTCCTCTCGAGATCTTGGGCACGCACACAGATGCGCCCGGCATGTTTTTTTAAGCCACTGGGTCCGGGACGCGAACTGCGGTCGCCTACGTGGGAGTCCAGCGACATAGCCATTACGCTAACTGCTGGTTCCCCTGAAAATTTTTTTTAAGATTTTTGCTATAGGGTGTGTGCACTTGCCCGAGGGACAGAGAGAGACAGAGACAGAAAGCGAGAAATCACCCCCCAGGGGAGATGGCCACGCCACAATCCCTTCTCCTCCATTCTCCTCTCGGGATCTTGGGCATGCACGCACATGCACACAGCATCCAACACTGATTTGAACCAAACTAGGAGCCAGACATTGCCGTAAGTACTTTCTAAACACAAACTCATCATAATCCTCACAAGGACCCTGTAAGGCAGACAGCAGACTTTATTCTTATTCCCATTTACAGATAAAGCAACTGAGGCACAGAGAGCTTAATTAACCTGCCTGAGGTCACACAGCTGGAAAGGGTAGGATTTGCTTCAAACTTCCAGACAGTGGGGCTCCAGATCCTTTCTTTATTTTATCTTTTTTTTTTTTTTGCTCTAGAGT